GGCACTCACTAACTTCACAACAAAAATTGTCACTTATAAATATAAGATCCAGTAGCCTATTTAGAGAATTAAAATAATTATTAATTTGAATTAAGTTAAGACTAAGTACATTATCGATGAAATACAATTCTTGACTTGAGTTGACATTATTTGGCGTGAGACCGTAATTATTAGAAATGCTGGTTGACCAATTAATATTAGGTAGGTTAAAATCGCCGAGCACGCAGAGGTGATGCTCCTTAACGTTGTTTAAGACTAATGAAGCAATGTTATCTGCGTGGGCCTTGTATAATTCGAAAGAGCTGCCCGGGGGCACGTACGACGCAAGAAGATACAAAGAGTCTTGCGGTGAGGAACCGTTAACACAAACACAAAGCTGATCCAGTAAAGAATCACCATTCGAAAGTGTGACCAAAGACGCTTGCAGTTGACGCTTAATGGCAATAAGAACACCACCTCCTCGAAGGCAGCCAGTTTATAAGGCGATGTATACAGTAGTTTTAGCGTATATGGGACAGTAAAATCCGTGCTAAAACGGCGAACGAAAGCAAGCGTAGAGTAGGATTTTGCGATAACGTAATTCAAATAACTATGAAAAAAAAAATTTTGCATCAAAAACTACTCAAGATCAGATATTTCATTAACAGAACTCAGCACAGAGTCTCCAATATAATAGCTGGTAGGGATGAGTGATCGAAATTTTGAAAACGAGATATAAAAGCATTTTTTAATATTTAGATGCAAATGATTCCTACTACACCAAGCTGCCACATTGTCAAGATCTGATTGGAGTTTGATCGAGTCAGAAAGACTCGTGACTGTTTTAAATTTAAGTCGTCCGCATACAATAAATAATTAGAGTATCTAAAGCAATTTCGTATGTCATTAATAAAAATGACAAACAAAAGAGGTCCGAGGACACTACCTTGCGTGACACCAGAGGACGCAATAAAAGAACGTGAGCAAATACCATCCACAACAACAACACAACAACGTTCCGCCAAGTATGACTTCACTTAAGATAAAAAACTAGAATGAAAGCCAAGGTCGGCTAGCTTAGACACTAAGAGCGAATGATATACTTTGTCAAAAGCCTTCGAAAAATCGGTATAGACCGTATCGACTTGAGCTCGATTCTTAAAAGCAGAAAGACAATATTCAGAAAAAACTTCAAGATTAGTTACAGTTGACTTACCAGGCATAAAGCCATGTTGATTAGTAGAAATTGAACTCTTAAGTGCAAATAATATTTTTTCCTTAACTATAATTTCAAACAATTTTGACATGTGTGAGCGCTATGTTGGTAGATACATGAATAAAACGCGGCTAGCTACCCTCAAATGCAACCCTAGGTAATGGCAAATGAGTGGCGTTGACAGTATAAGACCACGGATAATATGTCTACATTCTCGCAAGTGTCAACCTCTACTTCCGCTGATGGGATTCTTTCTTTCTTTTTGGATGCAGCTTTTCTACGTGTCGGACGTGATAAATTGAAGTTAAAAAAATATTAAAAATCTAATAACCAACAGCATTCGCGATCGTCAAATATATCTATGTAATTCCATTAAAAATAATTCTGAAATGTTAAATAATTTTCAAATAAATAAAGTGAATTAATTGATTTACGCGATAGACACCGATTTTTTGTGTATATGCGGGCTAGTTCGTGGATTAATCGGAGTCGCAGTTATCACGTTTTGGACGAATCCGTACGTAACCTGGAGTCAGCAATTGGCTACGTTGGGTATCCATAGGACCTAAATAAAACCTATCAACGGAGCAAGGCGAAGGAATCATCAGCAGGTGGAATTTGCGGAGTGGGGATCTATACTTGTAGAAGTTGCCGTCCGGCTGGTTAACCTCAACTGGTAGAAACTAGAATTTACGTTGCCCACGTGGCATGTAGTTTTCACAACTTTTTCCCTAATTTTTAACTTTCTACTTTATAGTCTCAATGCTTAAAGTTTAAAGGAATCGCACTGCATAAATTTTCATATTTTAAAAATTCTAGTTAGTAATCTTATTTTATTAGTTAAAAGAAAAAAACACTGAGTTTCTGATTATAAAAAAAAAAAAAAACCAACGGTTCATTAAAATATCCCCTCATCAGTTTAACGGAAAGTTAATTGAAGACTTTATATATATCCACACTTATGTATATATCGTTACTTAATTTTGCTAATTGTACATAATTATTTTCTTAACATGCAAGTGCGTCACCAATAAGGTATTCCTAAGCCCATTCATTCGATAGTTTTACAAACCCACCTATATTTTGAGTTTTGACGCCCTCACTGGCGTTCGTAAATTTCTAGCTGTAACTGGAGTAGAAAAGTCTGTCCAATCTGTCATGCATGCTTGACCTTGAACTTGAAATTGGTACATGCTCAAATGTAGATAAATATGTATGTATGTAGGTAGGATTTGTACATAACCAGACAAAAAATATATATATTTAAAACAAAATTTTAAAGAGAACATTACAGCAATTATCCCAACTCACCGACGCAGCTCATCAGGCGTCTGCTGACATCGCGCGGAGAACATGTAAGCAGCGTTGCCGAAGTCTTTTATCGTCCATTTGCCCCAAAAAAATCGTAATTTCAGCCAAAAAAACGTCAAATACTTTTTATATTATATTTTTTTAGCCGACTTCAAAAAAAGGAGGAGGTTATCAATTCGTCGGAGAATTTTTTTATGGGTATTTTACCGCATAACTTTAGACCACGTTAACCGATTTCTATAATTTTTAAAGGAAAGGTGGTACCAAAGAGGTAGTCCCATACTAATTTGGTTCAGATCCGATCATTGGATCATGAAGAAATTAACGGTACTCTTAAATTTTTATATGAGAATTGAATTCGGTTTTGTTTTTTGCTTAAGAATTAATTGTTACTTTATAAAAAACTACATACAATAAATATGACTCAACAGATTACCAAACAAAAGAAACCCACATTGCATATGGGTCAATAAAAGTTGATTTGCAAATGTTAACAACAAAAAATTTCCTCTGCTATATTTTTGTCTGTTTTAATTGAGTGGCAGCAGTGCAAATTTACGATTTGGTTACAAGTCTAGTACAAATTTAATATATGTATGTAACAAAAAGGACGGTTGTAGAACAAAACTAGATATATACATGATTGTATGCATTTTGGATTGCATCTTCTTTTAACAGTTTTTTTACATACGTACATATGTATGAATTTAAGCGGAGAAACGGAAATAAAAAATCGTCAAAACGTCATTGGGCTAAAATAACGTCAAAATGACGATGAAATCGTCAATTCGGCAACGCTGCATGTACATAAGTGCTTTTGTCTTTTCTCTTATTTTTTTTTCATTAGTTGATTTACTTTGAATTTTAATTGCGTAGCAGAAGGGTAACATGTTCGAAAGATCCACATTCCGTCATGCTACTCCACCTGCAGTGGTTTTCTCTTAATGCTAATTACACTAAATACATATGTTAATTTATCTAAACATTAATAAGAGCAAACGTACATATTTACATATCTGCGTATGTTAATTGAGAAATTACGTTTATATATCCGTAGAGAGGTTAATATTGAAAATTGCATTAGGGAGGTGCGATGCATTATCGAGTGAATAGTTAGACACTAATGTAAATACATATAACTAAAATTTAAATACATATCAATGAAATTTAATTACATTTAAGCTTAAAGATTTTGAAGAATTTCTAAATTGTTTTCTTTTTGTATATTTATATATGTTTAACAAATTAATTAATAAATGAATTGTACTATTTAACTAGGAATAATGAGGTGCTAAATTTCTTTTATTGTGGGATGATTGAGCCTTAGGTCTGTAGGTATTGGTTGGGTTCGGCGATGCAAGAGAAATGTATCTCTCATAGGATGGGTAGGGGAGAGCGGAGAGGCGGTTGCGCGGCAACTCCATGGGGGTTGATCAAAATGATTCTCACTCCATATTAAGTCGGTCCGTTTCCGTAAGGATAGGTTTTAAGGGCATTATCTTAATCGTTTAGCTGTTGTCTGTTTTATAAAATAAGATGTGCATAGAATTTTTTTGTATGGTCATGGATTTGTATAAAGTAGTGAACAAGAATCACCCCATCCGGCGAGCTATGAACCAGGCTGAAGCTAGCATGCACAACTCATCTACCAGCAGGTTAATTGGAATGACTTCATTACACATGGTAGAAAGTTTATAAATAGGCCTGTAGTTGGCGATATTATTCTTATTCCCGCTTTTAAAAGTAGGAGTGATAGAGGTTACTTTCCAGGCCTCAATGAAATCACCGTCATTAAGAGACTTATTAAATATTAATACAATTGGGTAAGCAATTGCTGAGACATTCTTAAACAAGTAAGAGCAAATGCCTCTAATGACGTCCTCAATGGTTAAGGAGAGCTCTCCAAAATTGATAGGGCAATCAAGGCTAGAAGCACCGTCATCACATAAGTTCGAATCAGGCTGAAAGTTTGAACTGAAGAAGTCCGCAAAAAGGTTAGCGGCTTCAAAAGACGAATGAGCATGGGTTTCATTATAAAAAACTTGTGTCGGAACTTGATGTCGGATTCAAATTTAGCCTCATAGGTTTTCTGGAGAGTCTTACTCCGTAATTTAAACTTATTGGAATAGTATAAGTACTTTTCCTTGTGGGAAGACGAATTAGACAATTTGTATTTTTTGAAGAAGCTATCCCTTAAATTCTTGAGCTTCTTTAAATCCTTTGTATACCAGGGGATTTTGTAGCAATTTCTTTTCTTCAACGGTATAATACTCCTACAAATTTCATTCACTTTGCATTTAAAAATATCAAAGCAGTCGGAAACATCAACCTCAGCAAATATAGAGTCCCAGTCGAGAATATCAATCATATCATTTATAGCATCAAAGTTACAGTTCCTGAAACTGTAATTTTTAGATGGAGTATCAAGTTTAATGCTTCTGAACTCATAAAACTCCAATTGCAGAACAAGAGGAACATGATGTAGGCCTGGGCACGACAGAGGGTCGAGACATTCATATAGAGAAAAGTGCATGTTATCGATTATAACTATTAGGTCTAGGAACCTAGCAAGTTTGTTAATAAACTTGTTAATCTGGAAGAGATTCAAGCTTAATAGAATGTCTACAACATATGTTTCAGAGAAACTGTTAATATTATTAGGATACACAGCTATGCTGTCATCCACAGGTGCCCAGTCCACATTACCTAGGTTAAAATCACCTAAAATACAAAAATTGCAGTTTGGTCGCTTATATACTAAGTCCACAAGGTTATCTATATGCGCTTTATACAAAGTATCTATACTACTTGGGCGGAATATAGGTNAAGGTTAGCGGCTTCAAAAGACGAATGAGCATGGGTTTCATTATAAAAAACTTGTGTCGGAACTTGATGTCGGATTCAAATTTAGCCTCATAGGTTTTCTGGAGAGTCTTACTCCGTAATTTAAACTTATTGGAATAGTATAAGTACTTTTCCTTGTGGGAAGACGAATTAGACAATTTGTATTTTTTGAAGAAGCTATCCCTTAAATTCTTGAGCTTCTTTAAATCCTTTGTATACCAGGGGATTTTGTAGCAATTTCTTTTCTTCAACGGTATAATACTCCTACAAATTTCATTCACTTTGCATTTAAAAATATCAAAGCAGTCGGAAACATCAACCTCAGCAAATATAGAGTCCCAGTCGAGAATATCAATCATATCATATATAGCATCAAAGTTACAGTTCCTGAAACTGTAATTTTTAGATGGAGTATCAAGTTTAATGCTTCTGAACTCATAAAACTCCAATTGCAGAACAAGAGGAACATGATGTAGGCCTGGGCACGACAGAGGGTCGAGACATTCATATAGAGAAAAGTGCATGTTATCGATTATAACTATTAGGTCTAGGAACCTAGCAAGTTTGTTAATAAACTTGTTAATCTGGAAGAGATTCAAGCTTAATAGAATGTCTACAACATATGTTTCAGAGAAACTGTTAATATTATTAGGATACACAGCTATGCTGTCATCCACAGGTGCCCAGTCCACATTACCTAGGTTAAAATCACCTAAAATACAAAAATTGCAGTTTGGTCGCTTATATACTAAGTCCACAAGGTTATCTATATGCGCTTTATACAAAGTATCTATACTACTTGGGCGGAATATAGGTTGCACTAATAATAAGTGTTGAAGAACCATTCACGGATACACATAGTTGATCTAGTAGTGAATCCACATTTTGCAGTGAAAGAAGCGACGAACGATGTTTCCGCTGACCAGCAATTAAAATACCACCACCACGAGCAAGTCCGGTTTTGATGGCATCCCGATCCTTTCGTTGGACGTTGTAAATGTTGGGATCAAGAAATTCGCTGTCATAAAAATCAGCATTTAGCCAGGTTTCAACCAGAACAAATACGTCATAGTCCAAATATGAACTTAATTCGTACAAGTTTTTAGACTTAGTTCTAAGCTCAGAAACATTTTGGTAATAGATGATGAGAGGTTTAGGGTAGGCTTCGATATTTGCAGATGCTGTTATGGATCTTGTTGGATTACGCCTTCTTTTGGAAAAAAACGGAGAGGTCGAACTTTTACGTTAACTGGTCAGATATTTGCATTGACTACCCTATTATAATATGAGTCTGATACTCCCTGTTTGAAATTTATTTTTTTAAGATCGGCCACATTGGCATCCTTTTTGACGAGCATGAAACATGCCAGATATGCCTTGCTAATATCAGCATGTTTCGACACATAACTTAAAATATCATCTTCAGACATATTAGGCAAAAATGACGAGACATGCAGCCACTTCATACTCGATACAACGCTTAATTCACCATTGTTGTTCGCCCCAATTACTAGAGGCTGTCTAGAATTTTTCCGGTTGCTTCTCCCAACTGTTCTCCACTCTGGGACTTGATTCCTATCAGGCATAAGAGCATTGGGCAAATTTGGGGCAACCGGCAAGCCTCCATGGGTAGGCTGTAAAGTTGACGAGCCTGAAATACGCGCAACCGTCCAAGGTACCTCCCAAAAGAAATCTAAAGACAGCCGACCGGCATAAGTACAGAAAAGAGCTTGATAAGCGGCTCTCAAGAACCACACTAGCAATTCCAGGGAACTCTAGGGACCTAGATAGGCTGGCAAATCGCCCTTGATCAGGTCTGCCCCAGGTAAAGCCGAGAGTCAAAAGGAAACCCCCTTGGTGGAGTTCAGAGATTCGCGAAGCCCGAAAAATTTATCCTAGGGCCTTCTATCTTGGAAAATCCTAGGGAGGCGATATGCAATGGGAAATCTATAATTTAAACTTCAAAGACTACAAGAAACTATTAAGGAGGAGCAAGAGATCCTCACGGAGGAACTTTGCAGTGGCTTGGAATCCATATCAGAAGGTTCTAGGCTCAGAAAGGTTCTCTCTAGTTCACTTCGTATCGCCCCGAGATGCTTGCTAAGATCCAACGGAGCGTGGACGGAAACAGGTGAGAAATCTCTGGACCATCTTCTTAGCACGCACTTTCCAGGCGCCACCGGGCAGCCACTGAACGGGCCAATAAGAGATAGAGGTTAACCGGTTACGCTAGACCTTATCACCAAAGAAAAACTAATGTGGGTGTGTGATGTTACACCGATTCAGCTGCAGCAATCTCTGAAGCTAAGCACAAAATGCCTGTATGCTATTTCTAAGGGAGTTCGCACTCTTAACTACATTCCGGAGACCTAGAAAAGGTCAAGGGTTGTCCTCATTCCTAAAGCGGGAAGAGCATCCCATACCAGCGTCAAAGATTTTGGACCTATTAGTCTATCATTGCGTATGCTCCTTGCGGTGGTTGTGAGTGGAAAATTTCCACAAACTCTGTGTGACATTATGCAGGACAGACTGAGGTTAATCGAAATATGGAACAAGGAGAAAGGTCTGGGTGTTAACCCAGACAAAACTGACCTGGAGCTCTTTACCAGGAAGTACAAAATCCTCACTTCAGCTCTCTGCCATAGGCAATAATATTCTGGAAGCTAGGGGAGTCCGCAAAATATCTAGCCGTGGTCCTGGACAAATAGCTGAACTGGGGGCGAGCGTGTTAAAAAAGTGGCGGTAGCCCTCTAAGGCTGTAAGGGGGCGTTTGCGTTTAACTGGGGGCTATCCTCTAGCATCATGTACCGGCTCTACACGGTGGTTGTTAGGCCGATTCTATTATATGGGTTCTTGGTATGATGGCCAAGTCTCAACAGGAAATCTACCAATGAAACCTCCAAAAGGTGCAAAGACCTGCGATTCTCTGCATCTGTAGGGCTCTGCGC